GAATATTTTATTTTCATATATATTAGAATTTTCGTATATAGATAGAAATTATAACCTTTATTGTTATCTATAAGCTCTAATGTCATTTATTTTAACAGTGAATTTATTAAACAATTTCTTCGAGTTGAAATAAATAATTGATGTAATATTTAGCTAAAAATACGAAGAGTATTTTTATTTCAAAATTTTTCTGGGTAATTTCAAGGTTACTGTGTTCCCATACAATAACATGCCAAACTTGTGATGAAGATTTTACAAATTACAACTGTTACTGAAACATTAGCTTTGTATATTTGTATAATTAATTTCTGAAAATTTCTGGAGAAATATTACTTTAAATTCAATTGTCAAGATTTCTGAAAGAACCGATAAAATGTCAAATACTATCAATACTCATAGTTTACAAGAAAAATGTTTAAAAATCAGACATACAAAACATAAAGTCAAAATCAGAATCCTGAAAGAATTAATGATCTAGAATCACATACAAAATTACACGTATGGATATAAATTAACAAAACTGAAACCAAAATGAAAGAAGAACAAAAATCAATTTTAGTAGAAAACGCTGAAGTGCGAAATTCACTGCAAACTATGGTTTCCATAAGAATGAAAATGATACACTATTAATATACACATTTCCCAGTTGTCATTTCCAATTCCTTTTTCATTTCAATTAGTTACTCGAGACTTTATTAAGCCGAACTGTTGCCTTCACCTGTTATTTTGTATAACCGTTGGTTCTTGTACATTCGAAATTGAGAAAAAGAAATTTCAATGAAATTGCAGGCATTTAATAATTATTATACTCAGAATTCCAACAATAGAAGGTATTCTCGACAGAAACACCCGAGGAACGGGTCTCACACGATACACCCCATATTTAGTAAATACGGCCACTCCTTTTCCAATTGTATTCGAGGTTACGGAACAACTTATTCAAGGACCTGTAAAACGGTCATCGCTGAAAAAAGTCTGACAGGTTCACGAAGCGAATCGATGATCCGAAACTAGGTTATCGTAAAGGTCTTATTTTTCCTTGTCGCGTACCATCTTGTGCAAGAATTGATACACCATCTGAGAAAGTATCTGAGATAGTCGAGATTGTACGATTAATAGTTGCTGTCGCATTCCAAATTGAGTAACGCGCGCCACTCAATTTTTGCAATGTTAAAAATTCTTATAGCAGTAACAACATTATTACATTTCAATAGCGACAGCTTCGACATTACTGTAATGGAACTGTTTCTAGCAAGACAAGTCATCGATCAGCTAATTAGGAATGTTAAAAACACCTGTTCATCGAATGTCAAATACTAAAGAAATCAAAGTTAGAATGATACTTGAGTTTATTATGAAATATAATCTTTCAATTGGAAGTATCAAGAGCACTAAGCATGACATTTCAGACAATGGGGAAACAGGAAGAACAGGGTACGGGGGATGATTGAACGACAATTCATCGAGTATGATTAAAACAATCTGTTTATTCAATATCGCGCGACGTGCAATTGGTTTTAACAATAAAAAAGACGCCTAGTATCGTGTTACGTACATACGTAGTGTTTAAAAATGATTCTTAAACAATAACAAATTAAAATTCATATAATAATAATCCTTCTACTTCATGAGAAAATAATTATTTCAGGTACAAAATTGAACCCTATCACAGACATCACTTAAAGCTTTATCACCTATATACAGTGAGTAGAGAGAGAAACAGAGAAACTCCTGACGGTGTCATAGCGTACAGCTTAGAAAATCGTTATCTCTTTAAAGGTAATAAGGCGCCTCGGGACGGCGCCGAGGCTCAACAAAGTTAAACATATGGAAGACAATGATTCGTCGTTTTCCCTCCTGCTCGCAGCCCGCCGCTGCGTCAACGAGGAAAGCTTCTTCACCAGGAACAGTTCGTATCGAAGCGGCGATTAATTGAAACGTGATTCATGGTCCTCCCGATCACCACGGCCTCCACACGTTGGAGGATTCCGACGAGTCACCGGAGGAGCTGGCCACGCTGACAGGACTCTGCGGCGGCGTGTAAACGTTCTGCGGTACGTTGACCATCACGTTGCTCGCCGGACTCGCGGCCGAAGGTTTGCCGACGGCGTTGACCGTGGTGGAAGCGGTGTTCGTATTTCCGACGGAATTCGAGGCAGGTCCCTCGAGTCTTCGAAGGCAACCGCCGAGGTGTCTCATCAGCTGCGCGCCGGCAGCCGGGTGAACCGCAGCGGCGACAGGAGTCGACAGGAACGACGAGACTTCCTGCGCGCACTGCGTAAATCCTTCCCGGAACCTGTCGGCGTAGCTGTTTTCCGGCGTGAGCGTCAGCCTTCTAGCGGCGCGCAGCGTGTGAAGATGACGCACGGTCAGCTCGAGGATATCGGCCTTCTCCAGTTTCGCGACGTTTTCACCCTCGGCTTGCAGCGCCGTCACCATCAGGTCCTTCAGCTCGTCCAGGCATCGGTTGATCCTGGCCCGCCTCTTCCTCTCCAGCATCGGCTTCATGACCTTTCTGTACTGATAAGTCCTCGACACTGGCTCCTCGTACTCCATACCGCCTACCGGCGTGTAACTGGTGTGCGGCGCCATGACGTCCAGCCGTAGAATATGCAAATCCTCTTCGTCACTTGTCACTTGGCACAAGAAGCTCGAGCAGGACGTATCCCGGAACGAGCGAATCCCAAGGGTCCAGACGTGTAATCGGGACAACGGTTCGAGAGATCGAGTTCACCGAAGAATGCGTATCGGTTTGTTGACAGTGAGTCAAAGTGTGAGTGGAAAAATTGGGAAGACGCTCTCGGAGTGCCGAGAGTGCGTTCGCTACCGTGTTTACGACGGTTCTGAGCCTCTGGAGGGGACTAACCCGGTACTTATACCTTCGAGCCGGCCCCCCCTCCAGACTGTCCCATCCTGATGCCCCTTCCGATGACTCCGGGGACTCTACGCCTCGGAGAGAGAGAAGGGTGTAGGCAACGGGCCGACGGGAAGGGGGAGGGAGGGCGAGACGCACGAGTGAACCCTGCAGCCCGTGCACAGCCAGCCAGCAGCCGGAGCGTATCGTGGGAAGCTCGCGGGCCGAACAGTTCCCACAGATCGGGGGCCTGTTGGGCCCGGCGCAGGTTCCCTCCACGCGTCCTCTCCGTGTTTGTGTGTGCTCGCTCGACTGGCGCAGGGGGCCCCTTCGGTGGTGCCAGCGCGGGAGAGGACCTTTTCGTGCACACCTGCATGCTCTCTGCCTCGCGGAGAATGGGGATCTCGATACCGCCGCTGTTGCTGCTCCCGCTTCTCCTACTATTCCCGTGTCTCCTCTCCTCCTCTCCTCGGCCGCCGCGCCTGTACGCCCCTGCCCCTCCGCGTTCTCGCCGGCGCGGCCGCTCTAGCCCCCGGGCGAAGCGAGTCATCGGGGAAAAAAGAAGCGGCGAGCACACGCCATGTCGCGCGACCAGCACGAGGACGACCCGCGCGATCCTCTTCGATCCTCACGCGCTCCACTCTTCCGTTTGTCCTTCTTCGCCGGTTTTCCCGCCGTTTCTCTTTCCATCTTTCGCGCGCGCGCGGCACGCTCGCTCGCCGCCGCCGCCGCCGACGACGACGAGGACGACGTGCGCGATACTCTCTCGCGGCGGCTACGGGCTACGTGGAATACTTGCTCGATCGCCGCTTTGATTGGAAACGCTCGCGTTACGGTCGGAATTTTCGAATGCATTTTCTATGCACGACCGTGTTACGCTTTTATGGAACCGGCGAACGAGGAGGTTCGCCGGGTTGTTCGACGGGAAAATTAGATGGTAATTGTAATCGCTTTCTCTGATTTCGTTGCGAAGCGGTTGGCGATTGCGTGATCCGCCTGCGGGTCAGGCGGGTTCAGATCACACGTCGGATACTCGAGTGTTTCATTGTCTGGTTTTTGAATATGCGATGAGCAGTCGGAGCGTCGGTAGTCATTATGATTAGAATTTTCGGTCGAAGTGGACCGCGCGGGATGTTTCGAAAACGTGGTGACATCGACATGAACAATTGTATTTATCTTTTCCTTGAAAAGTTAGAAAACAATTACAAAACGGTACGAAATATCCAGCACAATATAGAACGCGTAAAAAATCATACATGTTGCAATCGTTTAAATGACTCAAAACGTTTTGCGGTGAAATTTCAAGCGCAGCTGTCTGAAAGCTGATGAATAAATCATGGGTGGTCTCATATTCACGGAGGAAACCTTGTGAAAACCTTTTTTCCACGTGCCCGGCCGACAATATGCGTAGCATGCTCGCACGCACCGCGTGGGAGTCACACGGGCGTCCGAGCAAATTACGAGCAGAAGCCGAGCGACTGCATTTATACCGCTTTACGTGCCCAGTTACGCGAACACTTTTTTCCTATTTTCCCGAGGCTTAACGATCACCGTGTACGTACGCCGATCATTTGCCGAAAAGCATTCGCGCGGACGCCGATGAAACGACGCCGGCGTTTAATGAACCGTCGCGACGTGGCGACACCGCGGTACTCGAGCAGCCGTTTCAGACATAGAAAAACGCAGTCGATTTTTCACGAGTCGCAAAAAAGGAAAAGAGTTCCGGCCGGCTAATTAAAAAAGAATTCATATCACCATTACGAATCGATCAGCAGAACCGTGTATTCCCCTCGTAACGGCTGTTCGACGCAATAATTAACCCATTAAAATACTGGCGTCCGCTGTGCTTTAATTGCGAGCATTTAGGCCCCAGACGTCTGTCGGCTTCTGTTTAAAAACGGATAATAATTTTCGATCGACCGGCGTGCTCCCGCGTGTCGCGGCGGCGGCGACATCGGCGAACGTCGACGCGGCAGGAAGACGCGCGCTCGCGCGCGCGTGCACGCACGAGGCGCTT